TTAGGCAAAGCAAGATATATTAGAAACAAATACAATTTCCTCTGATTTTAATGGAAGTTGCAAATGCCTATGCTTGGCTTCTAGCATGGTCTCCAAAGTGATTCTGGTAGATGAAATCAGTATTTTTTAGTCTCAAAACCAGAAACCTTTAAAGACAATAAATTATGGTGGTTTTCTTCCAGTGTTTAATGTTTATGTTTTTGAAGTAAAACACAATTAAATTTAAAATCACATGGAAAACTGCACATGGAACAAGATTCTCCTTTTTGTGTAAGAAAGTCTTTTCTCCTCTGCTGAAAGGATTGATTTATTTGCTGTTGGACCCCAAGAGTCTCAGGGTTTTTTTGCCCCATAGATTTAGGAAGAAGGGAGATGAAAAGCTGCAGAAGATATAATAAACTGCTGAAGTTAAACCTTCACAAAGTTACCAGTTACAGGAGAAAGCCAACTCATACACACGCTTAAAGCAATTGCTATTCAGTTCTGAAGATGCAAGAGTTCAGTGATCCAACTGTTCTTTGTAATTGTTTTGGTTTTGTTGGGGTTTTTTTGGGTACTAAATTCCACAGCTCCCACTGTGACCCCACTTGCCAATAAATACACTTGGGTTTCGGGTTTTTTGTTTTGTTTTTTTTTTTAAAATGAACACTCCTTTCCTCCATACACTCCTCATTTCATAACTTTAAAGTCTATGTAAGTTTACACCTTGAGGAAGAAGATTCTCACCTCTCCCAGAAACACCTGCAATTACTTTGTGTCATGCCTTCTGTATAAACAGAAGGAACTTCTGCTTTGTGTCACAGCTGGTTGAAGTTCTGTGAGAACTGACCACTTTCAGACAGATCCGTATGGACTGCCCATTAAGCAGCGATTGTGGATCTGTCTGTGCTGCTCAGTATCAGATCTTTCTGGTTAACAAAGAAGGATCAGACAGGCAAACTGCAGAGGGAGACTCTCAGCATACTCTCCCCCACATTCAGTGATCCAGTTAGATCATCTCCTGTATATAAGGAAAAATGCTGGCCCTTCCTACAGGAAGGAAGGAATCGTTCTTTCCTCCCTGAGCTCATAGCTTCAGAGGCGCACGGATTTAAATTGTTTTTTTAGTTCAAGGCTTTGCCGCTTTCTCGCAGCTCTAATGGTTCCGGACCCCTGAAGCAGGAACCAGTACCTGCACAGGGCTGTGTCAGCTCTGCAGTCACCGGGCACAAGAGGAAAACATCTCCGGCCACGCTCAGCTCCGCGCTCCGAGGCGGCAGAGAGGGTTTTAAGGCCGCGCACAGTGACATCTGCCGGCAGAGCTGCAGCCCACGGCACGAACCGCACCGGGGCTCTCAATCTTCCTCCTCTGCTTACCCTACACAGCATGAAGAATTATTTGCTCCAATTTCTCGACGTTACCCATATTTAGCCAATAATCTGTCTAGAACCCAAACACCGGTACCACCAGAAATCAAAAGTGTTTGCTTGCGACTTACTTTATCAATCATCTCATGATTCTCAGCTGGTTCACTATGTAAACCATATAGCACCTGGACTTGTAGGAACAACATACTTCTTCTAGACTGCACAGTCAGTCATATGCAAAGTGGCATCATTACACTTTTAGGTGTCCATAGTAGTTCAAGCCAGTTTGATATTAACTATTCAACAGATCATAAGTTGAATTTCCTTACCATTGTATTTGCAATTTTGGTGAATATTTTCTTATTTTAGTCACAGAGCTGAAAGAGGCTGTGTTTCCTCAAAGGTCAAGTGCAACCAGACCCTGTGTTTAAGTTTCAGGGTTAGAAATGTATTCCAATTCCATGTAAAAAGCAGAAAGAGGCTGCTTCTTCATGTGCTTTTATGTAGTAACAGCTTTCTACAATCCTTTAAAGTAATTTTCCACTTCATTTGTATACTGACACCGTCTACTAACTTCCGTTTCCTCAAAGCATGTCTTATTTCTTCCAAGCTTCACTACCAGATAACCAACTCCAAAACAAATACAAAATATCCTAGAGTATTTAAATTCAATATGTTATTTTTCTTAGATGGCACACTGACACTATGTTCCGTAAAATGCCTTTTTTAGGGTAAAGAAAGTGGCAAAATGCTTATAACTTCATCAAGAGACTTTAAAATAGAAATGCCTGTAAATAGACTGACTGAAACTGGAAATATTAAAGCCATGCTGTCTAAAGGCTATCAGTCCTTACTTGTGCTGTGCAGAAAATAAACACAAGTTTGCTGCAGAATCTAAGTAATTCTGATGTGTGTCAGAATCCAAGATAACCTTCTCAGTGTTCATGGAAGGAGGTTGTGGATTGTGTGATTTTAATCATGTTTGTTGTAGTAACTGTTTGAATGGAAGTGCCTTTCCAAGCTCAGAAGTGTGACTGAAAAAGAAACCGGAATCTAAGAATTGCATTATTATCCCACTGAGGTAAAACTTACAAAGCTTCTGCAAGTCACTAAAAATATCCCAGTAAAAGGAGCTTTCAAAAGCTGGAAGATAGTGAACTTCCCTGTCAGCATGCACAGTAGGCTTGTCCAGAGCATTACAGTTTCAGGCACTGGGATCTTTGGGGTTTTCTGTGTTTCTCTCATGAGGATCATCAGAGGAAGAAGATGAAGTAAATACTCAAAAGAGCTGAAAGCAAAATGCTGCTGCTGCTTTTCCTCTCATTCTCTTTGTCTGAACAAAAGTTTGAGGGCTCAAGATTTTCCTCATTTCAGACATGACTGGTCCCTGAATACCTATTGTTTAGTCTCTGTTCCTTGGATCTACTTCACTGCTTAACCAGTAGGTGCTTCATTTATGCTTTCACATGCAGTAACCCCAGGAACAGCACAAAGCATTATGCTCAGGAAAGCAAGTGCTTTTTGCACAATGAGGGGCCCATGGTCTTGCCTTGCCTGATGGCAATCATCACAAGCAGGAAATGCTCTTTACCTCATCCTTTGGTGACACAAAAAGACTTCTGGATCTTATGCCAGAGATTATGCTCCTCATTATGCTCTACATAAACAATGCACATTCCTATCTCCATTTCAATCTGAAAACATTCTTGTGTTCTATATCCTCCCACCCAGCCAACTCCTCTGTTGTCCTGCATACACTGTAGATCCAAACTCAGAGATTATTTTTGTTTGTTTGTTTGTTTGTTTAATGGATGATTGAGCTGAGGTGATCCACAATAAAAAGCTCATTAGGACATCCATTCCTTCCATACTGGGACCCAGAGAATTCATCAAAATGATTGGTTCAGAGAATCCACTTTTTTTTGACTAAACATGTATGATCAAACTTTGTTTAGGTCCATTGATGTCCTGGATTTTCCTGCCCTCCTCAAGATGCTTTATCCCATGGAATCCCACATTCTACGGGTAATGAGGCTGCTTTTGGGCATGCTTCTAACATGCATGAGACCTGAGCAATTTAATACCTGTCATTCAATTAATGTGCTCCTGCAACATATCTTTAGCACAATATAATAAATATTATAATAAAATATAATATATAAGATACACTCTTCCATCTTTGATAAGCAGCTCAAGTCAGTTCTCACAGAAAACAAAAATTTACTGTTTGTCCAAAGCAGCTCTGAGAGCAGGAATACACAGGTCTTTCCAAAGGCTACTCACCACCTCTAAAAATCACAAGGTAATGAAACTTCATTATGAATTTATGCCTGGGCATTGCTATTTTTAAAGGCTACGTTAATTCTCTGAGAACAGCACCTGGAGCTATGAAGAACATTCAGTATCTGCCTCTCAGTGAACTGCCAAAAGAACACCTTCAGCTCTGAACAGCAACCTGAAAGACCCAGCTGATCAAGCTTATGGGCTTAAACCAGAAAGGCTTTGATTCTTTACATTACTGCTGGTTAACAAAAGGCTACTTTCTTCTCAGAAGAATGCTCATAATGCCCTCTGATGTGCTTAAGGGAACAGTTAGGAAATTGATGGAGATTAATTTTCTTGGCTGTCACTGACGCAAAAATTCAAAATAGGGACAGACCAAATGAATAGTTTCCTTCATTTTATGCCCAATATTGTTCTATGTATGTTTCAAAGTTGGAATTCAGTCTGATTTTGCGTATTTCTGGAAGTTGTGAAAGGGGCAGTCCTCTTCCAGAAAAAGGAACTTGGAGGTGCTATACAAGAGAGCAGAAAAGTGTCACATTTTACTTCCTAAGAATCAGTGAGAGTTAAACAGCTGGTTTAGTCCTGACATCATCACCTTTCGTACTCTCACCTTCACTGCCAACACAGCATTGCTTAAAAACACTTAGTGCTGGAGGAAGAAAAAGCCTTCTTGTTGACTTGTGAGAGCTCCCACAGGCACTACCATTCACAAGGTACAATGGGAAAGGTGCAGGCACAGGCTGTGCCCAGCATTGCAATTCTGAGCCTGAAATGTGGCATAGCCAAACACCATGTGATGTACTTCCCTTCCCTGTGGTCAATCTGCAAGTACCACCCATGATCTTGGGGATATCCTGTGCAGGGGCAGGAGCTGGGCTTTTGTGATCCTTGTGGCTTCCTTCTAACTCAGGCTATTCTGTGGTTCTCAAATTACCACATCTTTTTCACAGATCCACTACCTACTCTCACAGAAGAAGCTGAAGTCTTCAGGGTACTGACAGCACACTCTAGAAATATTTAGGAATTGGTGTGCTTGGAGCAGTATAAATGAGAACAGATTTTTTGCTTGAAGAGCTTTTGGTTTAAAGTTACAGTCAGGATGCAACACTTCAGGTTGCTGATGCAGGACACAGGCAGTCCAATTTCCTGCAGAAATATGCTTGTAATATTATCCAGTTTAGACTAATCGAGTTCTTAAAATAGGAACGGTACAGTGCATGCACATTTACTAAGAGTTACATAAGCTGTGCATTAATTCGCTCACTATTATTCCATTTACAACCTCGTAGGAGATTCAGTAAGACAGCAGCTTATCATAATATGACATGGTTTACATCAGGCTCCTTATGCAGTCAGTTAAATATTGATATACATTGATCTCCCCTTGCTGACAGCTGTGGGGTTTTTTTGCATTATCAAGTTCAGAGGTGCAGATACTATACGTTATTAATTACAAATCCACTAAGACTGGGAGAAGCAGGCTGTCTTTTTTTTCCTTTCTTTTTCTTTTTTTTTTTTTTCACATCTTCTTTTTTGACCCACATTTCTAGATAGAGGAGGATTCTTGGAGCAGCAGGCTCACCACCTCCTACACTTGTAGGCTTAAGCCCTATAAGTAAAAACAAACAAACATATGAGACACAATAGACTACCCACCCCAACCAGTCGCTAAGAGAAATAAGCCTCCAGCAGCCCGGTGTTTTCTCACAGAGCGTGAAAGGAATGGAAGAAGTAAGAGTCGGTAAGAAGACCTTTAGGAATGCGTGTATGGAAGCGCACACAGCGAGCGGAGAAGGGATAAAGCCCCTTGCCACCCCCACCCCACCTCATCCAGCCCCTTCCCCGGCGAGCGCAGCAGCCCGGCGGGGGGCGCCGGGGCCGCCGCCAGCCCCGCACCTGCCCCGGGCCAGGCGGGCAGAGCCCGGCGGGCTGAGCCTGGCCCCGGCCGCAGCGAGGCCCCCGCCCCGCCGCCTCCCCTCCGCGGCCCCTACCAAGCGCAGCTGGCTTGTCTCATCGTAGGACAGGAAGCTGAGGATGTTCTCGATAGCCACGATGGGCAGCCCCATGAGCGTATTGCTCTGAGGTGGCGGCTCCATGGGCGCCAGCGGCTCGGGGGCCTCCGGCAGCGGGGCCGGGGAGAGCCGCGCCGAGCCCGGGGCGCCGCCTTCGCCCTCCGACACGAGCCGCTCCTCCGGCGCCGCCATCTTGGAGCCCGTCCTTCCTCCGCGGGGGAACGGCACCGCCTCTCTGTGACGCCTCTTCCGCAGCCGTCACGGCCGGGCCCGCCCCGACGTTCCCGTGGGGAACGGGGGAAATGGAACTGTGGGTGCTGTTGCCAAGGCCGAGAGTTCGGGCCGCCGTCGTTGCCCGGGGAGACGTTCGCGGGCGGGTGCCGGAGGGACGGTGTCCGACTCTTGTCGGTGGTACCCATAGACGGGATGAGGAGCAAGGGCTGTAGACTAAAACACGAGAAGTTCGTCAACCTGAGGGAGAATTTTTGACCGGAGGGTGGCACAGTACTGGAACTGAGAGGTTGTGTGTTCTCCCTCTCGAGAGACATTCACACACGTTCCTGTCACCTGCTCCAGGTGACCCTGCCTTGATGATCTCCAGAGGTCCCTTCCAACCCTAACGATCCTGTGATTCCCATGCAGGATTCCGTCTGTCTCCGTGAGGAGTTTCCCTAATGCCCAACCTGAACTTTACCCCAGGCGGCTTCAGAGCATCCCCTCGTGTGCTACGGCAGGAGGCCGGAGAGGAGGGATGAGTGCCTCCCTCTCCATCCCTCTCTGAGGAAACTGCGGCAAGGACCTCCCAAAACTCCATGGGTGCTGCTGTGCGGGAGTCCGGCAGCGCTACCTCAGCACAGGCACGGTGACCTACCGGGAGAATGTGTTTGGGCTGCAGTGAGGCAGCTACAGGGTGGAAAATACCCCTGTAGCTCCTAAGTGAGATGCAACTACATTCTTATTACATTATTATATTATTAAGTAATCCAGCCCGCTGTGTTTTACCTATGGATGGGCGGGCACCTCTTCTGTGTTTGGTGTCCAGCTGCCCCTGCTGGCAGGGGGAGCCGCAGCAGCCAGGGGGGCTGCAGGTCCTCTGCCAGCCTTTGGGATCAGAGCCAGCTGGCAAAACCCTCGGCAGCCCGAAAACCACTGCCTGGAACCAGACATAATTGAGCAGGCAGAACACACAGAATAAAGCAAACTCTGCTCCTTTATTTGCCCTTTATCCTGTATATTAAGGAGGTTTCTGGATCAGATTGCTGGGACAACAAAGGGATGGAACCAAGAGCTGTTTCTAGAACATTCCCTCGTGTTTCTGAGAACAGACACACCTCAGTTTCACAAGTATTGTAGCCTGACAGAAGTTGGCACAGCCTTAGAGAAGTATGGTGCCAGTCTCCTCAGTGCCTTCAGCTGCTGCTGCTTTGTTTCACATCGGCAGCGTTGGGTGTCTGTGCTTGACTCTGGTGCTGCTGAAGATGGACTTGCCAGAGGAAATCACTAAATAAATGCCAAGGCTGATGGTAGTGAAGTGTGTGGGGGAAAGACATCAAATAGTTGGGGTGAATGAGACCACTTCTTTCAGAACCTGCAGCAAGGTAGCTTAAATATTACAGGACTAAAGAATTAGGTGCCTGCAGCACCTCTGTACATTTTTTTTTCAGCCATGCTTCCTGTCTTTGAAGTTTTATCTTAACCCATTTCTTTCACTCTCCTCTCCTCAGAAACTCATCTGCAAACTCTTTCTTAAAAAAAAAAAAGAAGGCATCTGGAAAAGAATTAACTTGGGAGCAGGGCAAATGCAAGGGTAAGGCTTTATGTGTGTCATCCTGATGGCACTCCAAAAATGTGTGTTGAAATTAATATTTCCTTTTTGGGAGCAGAACACTGTGTGCCTTGTATGAATCTGGAAGTGTTTTGCTCCCTCCCCTCAACTCGTCGATGATACTATCTCGCAACAAGGGTTTTATTCTTGTGCGTGGTTTTCAGACCTGATCTCCTTTCACATGCACCATCAGCAGTTTAAAACAAGCCCAGGAGAATTCTTTTTGAACTTATGACTTGGCACGTGAAGTTTGGGCTGGCAGTATGTTGATGCTTTAAAAGGAAGTGTGGTTTTCCATCCTACCTAAGCATATAAGATTTCACATTGTTTCAAGAAAGCTTTTTTTTTTGGTCATGTCATTTAAACAAATTCTTTTTTTTTAAAAAAAAAATGTTTAATAAATATAAGCTGCATGTTTATCATATCACCAAACAGGATAAATACAATGAACAATATACATTTTATGCTAACTATATACATAGCTTAACAGTTAATAAGTCTATTTTAGTAAGTAGGGTAATTCTGCTGCCTTCCAGGTTCTGACTCATGTCCTTCCCCAGTGTATCTGGTGTCATTTTTCTGAGCATGCATCACTTTGCATTAATTTGGAAAAACACAGTTCTCACGCACTTTCACAAAACCCCCATTACAGACTCTCCAGTGGATGAACTTTTCAGTTATTTTGGGATACTGTGAAGCCAGAAAACTTGATAATACTTTCTGAAAGGGATGAAATAAAGTTCTGTAGAATTCATTTGCATGTTACATGTCATGTATAACCTTAAAATCTTAGAATCTTGAAATAGCCATAGTTTTGATTTTACCATGTTAGAATTATAAGTATGGTTGGACTAATTTTTTTTTAACTTCTCAATGACTCACAAGAAGGTGTTAGGCAAAATGAATTTTTCACTTCTTTCATGCAAAGATCCTCATAATATTTTTATTTATGTTTGGGGGAATGAAATTTGGATGTCTCTGTACTCTGGACTACATGTTGTATACCACTGATTGGAGTGTGGTGTGTTAGGGTCAACAAAGACTGTGAAATTTTGCTGAAATTATGTGGAATATTTTGCTTGGGCTTTGTATGGAAGCAAGCAGCACGAAGAACTGTGATGAAGAGGAAGGAGCCTGGTTCAAACAGAAATCAAATTGTATCTATGAAATCTGTGAAAGGAGAAGAAATTAAAGACAGGGTAGAAAGAGAGTGAGAAGCAGGAGCTAAAAAGCAGACATTTGGGAAGATGGGGGTGGGGGGGAAAAACTTAGCAGCAGGGGTTAGAGGTGAAGGAAAGTGTGTAAGTAGGTCAGGAACTGTCATGTTGATGTGGAATATTGGAGCAAAGAGGAGTAACGTGCTCAGAAACTGAGGGTAAGAGCAGAAGTTGGGTGGGAGGAGAACAGATTTATTTTATTAAGTTAGTGTAATCAATAGAAAAATAGAAAAGGCTTTCCCACATGATATGTTTTCTTCTTGGGGGCAGCAGAAGATTGCTCACTTCATGGATATTAGGGATTTTTAAAAGAGGTGCTAAATTTGAAATAAGTCTGGTCTACTCACACAGCTGTATTTTCATTCAGGCTGCTGGATACTAAGGCAGAGTAAACTCTTTCTTGCTTAAAGGTCTTTTTGTGACAGGCATTCAAAAATGTAAAAAAGTCATATTTAGATTTCTTTTCAGAGTGTTGTTAATAAACACAGACAGCAGTGTAAATTTGAACACATTAATCTTTTGCAGCTGAAACTTTTAATCCTTTAACAGGTAAATGAATAAATATTGTGGTATGCAGTCAGCTTCAGATATGAATGTAATCCCAGTTTAATTAAATCAATATAAATATTTAACTGGATCCTTTGCAGTTTCATCAGTTTTGGACCTAGTAGTGCTACATGTTGCATAAAAAACTGGTCGAGAAACTGACTCTAAAATCTACATCCACCCCTTAATTTACTTGTAATACTGTGTATTAGGTATCTGATAGTAATCATATGTCGATGTCGAGAGGCAGAAGAATATGATGCTCCAAGGGAGATGTGAGGTAGAAGCAAAAGGAAAACAAGTAGAAGACAGAAGGATAGAAAATACAGCCTCTGTAGATTTTTCTGAACTGAAAGTGTAGGGACCAGACTCATCTTGAGTGATTAATGTAGGCCAGGTGTGTTGCACAGTCAAGCTTTCATCAAATATGTTTTTCTGTTTTGAATTTCAAGGAAGTAGTTAAAGTGTTTTCAAATCCATAAGGAATATTGGGGTTTGTACATACTATACATACTATACATACTATATTAATTCTATACTACTAATAATTAATTACAAATCAGGTAAACTGATGTACTTGGGGAGTAAAAATAACAAGGGTTCAGACAAATACCCTTTCTATTTCCTTGTAGTCAAAATACCTCCCCCGAGAGAGGGCTGCAGAGTCAAGTACTGAGAGCATGTTGCCTTGGTTGGGTCACACCTCCTCACACAGCTGTATTCAAAAGTAACCTTGGTGAACAAGCCTAGATAAAAAAAAATAAGAGGCTTTCATTACATAACATGACTTTTGCTAATTCTCTGTATTACTCTCTTGTAGGATGTTTGCAAACCCTGGGACATAGAATTAGTTTTCACCCTGAGGAAGGGCTCGGTTTTGATGCAAGTTCCAAGGAATTCCTTTAATTTCAGTATACTACCACATATTTGCACTATGATAAAGATAATTCAGATTAAAACAGCAATAATGTCTCTGTGTCTCATCAGTTCAGCCTGGAGAAATATCACAGACACAACAAACTGCACCCATACTTTTGATGTCCCCATGTCTGCTAGGGTTATCTCAAGCAGAGTTTGATATGCTGAGGCACAGGGCTACCTACAGCTCTGTGTGAGAGGGTGCGAAGAAAATAGATAAATGAACCGTGAGAAGAGGTTTTCAAAGACATGGTCTGCTCAGTCCTGCAGTCACTTTACAAAAAAGAAATTGTTAGGGGCCTGATCTTGAAATAATTTTGTATTTTCTGAAATCCTTCTGGTTTCATTCTCTCTTGACTCCAGAGGGATCGCTAGCATGAGCTAAGTCTGGCTTCCTGGCAGCTGAGCAATAGTGATGAGGCAACAGTAAAATGGCAGTGTTCATTTAACTCTCCACATTCTCAACATCCAGCTAGGAACCCACCACAGGGATGAAGGTCCAGAGTCACTGTGTGGCTAATCAGTGTCTTAAAGTTTCTAGTAAGGAATGGGATTTTGATCAAGATTTTTTGTTTCCAACACCTGAATATATTTGTGCTTAATGAGCGTGTGTTTCAGTTCCTTCCCTGTTTTTCCTCACTGGCCAGCTCCCTTATGGAGCTGGATGAGTGGCTGTGGTGAGTAACAGCTGGCCTGGA